TGGCCTCACGTGAATGGTCTTAACTGAGGTCAGTCGGAGTGCAGGACGCATTCTCAGGGTTATTGAGGGTGGAAAAGCGCAGACCTGCCCTTGTGAGGTACACGGGCTAGTGAGAAGACCCCGTACAAGTGAATTTCCCATGATTACCCTCTCCTTCTGACCTAAAACATCACAAAAATGAAAAGCATCCAAGAGAGAAGTATGCTTGGTTTGTGAGTAAGTCTTAAAAACACATGGAAAACCCCAGTGTAGTTTAAAATGTCTTGGTAGCACATATGACCAGAAATCGAATCTGTAGGTATGTTCTTTATCTTGCTGGAATGGTTAAGTGTTGGTATCTACAGTGGGCCTGTGCATCTTTCTAACTTACTCCATCTGACAGAAGAATCCCTATTGGCTGGGAAGAATTTTATTAGTCATTTTTCAAATTAAGAAATTGTTGTGTAAAAAGTATACTAGTTTCAGTAAACTGTTTTTTCTTATTTAATCACCGATTAACTGGGGCCTACGTGCATCCTAGGCAAGCACGCAAACCCACGACATAAATCGTGTCCCCATTCCACCTTTCTATCTCTTAGGACAAAGCCTCATTGAGGTCCTAGGCAGGCCTCCAGCTTGCCGTTAGTCCTCTGCCTCAGACACACATGGGTGTGGATATGGAATGCTCACACCCGGGGTTGACCAACCATTGTCTCTGTGTCCCCTGGGAATACCGGAAAGCCATGTGGCCTCTGTTTGAAATTCTTTCAGCGGATTAAAATTTTGTGTCACATCGTCAGCTTTGAGTTTGTATAATAATGAGTTGTAGTTCCTCATCTGCTTTCAAACCACACTGTTGGCATGATTGGCTGTCTTGGTGACCCAGCTTGAGGATGTCCTTCGGCGTTTCCTTTGGTTGTTAGAACTCTGTGCACCTTCTGGATTTGTGTGTGTGTGTTGGGGGGAGGGGTTGTGTGTTGTAGGAAAGTCAGAGGTCTATTTGATGCTGAAGGACAGTGGCTGTCTCATTCCAGGTTCCGGATAGAAATTCCAGCCGCTTGTCCTTGCTGTTGGTGTCTGTCTGGCTTTATTCTCCTCTTCACATGCTTTTGTTATAATCCCGTTTTAGGGAGGGTATACAGAGCAATGGAAACACACAGAAGAGTGACTGGCTTTTGGAAGGTGCTCTGTAAATTCCCATCGACGATGGCTCCATCTTCCAGATGAACTCCACTCTTTGGCCACAAGGCGGAGCCAGAGTCCTCCTTCTTGGCCGGGGTACTTCCCACTTCTTGATGCTGGCTCAGAATGAGGATGGGGTAGAGCAGTGTTTTGTAGATAGCTGTGTTCCTGAAACACACATAACTCAAGACACCTACTGAGTGAGTACTGAGAACTCCAGGGTTCCTCCTGTGGAAACCCGCTGTGCAGCCGATTTGCTGAGAAGTCAGGAGAGTGCATCCAGCCAGGAAGAGAAAACTGTTCATAGCCGGTGCTTTAGCTATGCACAAAACACTCTTTTAAAATAACCGAGGATCAAGCAAAACAATACTCCACTCAGCAGTGTGTTGACTAGAAGTAGAAATGAGAAGACAGCCTACGGCGAATTCAGGACGCTTTGCCTAGAAGTAGAAATGAGAAGGCAGCCTACGGCGAATTCAGGACGCTTGGCTTGGGAAGGTGGTGCCAAGAATTCTAACTCACTCCTTATACCATTTGGTCACTCTGTTCTAGGGTGTATGCATGTGTGTGCCTGTGCATGGGCACTTGTTTGTGTGTGTGTGCACATGTGTTTGTGTGTACGTTTGTGCGTGTGTGCATGCGTGTGAAAGCCAGGGGCCATCCTCAGCTCTTGATCCTTTGTCACGGTCCCTCACTGGGACCTGGGCTGGCTGATGAGGCTGAGCTAGTCCATCTGTCCTGCTTACCTCCCAGCACTGGGGATTTTGAGCTGTGACAGTAGGTCAGGTGTTCAACATAGATGCTGGGGATTGAACTCGGGTCTTCATGCTTGCAAGGCAAACGCTCTATGGACCGAGCCATCTCTCAGCCTCCACCACAGTCTATTGTTTTCCTTCCCATGGAGACTCAGAGCTCTGCAAGGGAGATCTGCTAGGTCGCTTGTCCATCTGGAAAGTGAGAGCAAAGGGACTCAAGGCTGTGGCACCGAGGCATGCTAGGTGGCTGCTCCAGAGCCTGGAGTCCTTGTCTCAGACCGTTTCCTGTCCCCTGCAAGATGTAAAACTCTGAGCTCCTCCTCCAGCACCACATCTACCCGCACACCGCCGTGCTCCCCGCCATGATGATAATGGACTGAACCTCTAAAACTGTAAGCAAGCCCCCTCAATGAAATGTTTCCTTTATAAGAGTTGTAGTGGCCATGGTCTCTTCACAGCAATAGAAGCCCTGACCAAGACAAGATACCGAAGGATACTTTACTGGGGACCAGAGGCCAAGCTGCCCCTTTTCAGACCTCTAACTTTCCCGTCCGTGAACCTCCCCCCCCCCACACAACTATTTTGTTAACTTCATCTCAGTGTGGAAACCAGCAAACACAGAATCTCTCAGACTACAGTCCTTAGCCCGCAGGCCCATACATTTGGTTTTGGGGAAACAATATGTTTATCTTCTTTTTTTAAGTGTGCTTTTATCTTATTTAATGTTATTATACTGTATGGGTATGTTTGCATACCACTTGTATGTTTGCCCGTAGAGGGCCCTGACTCCCCTGGATTGGTTGTGAACCATTATGTGGGTGCTGGAATCAAACTCTGGTCCTCTGGAAGAGCAGCCAGTGCTCATAACCACCAAGCATCCTCTCCAGTCCCAAATTCCACTCATCTTAACTAAAATTTAGCAAGTAAGTAAAAGCGGAGGTAAAGTCAGCCAAAGCCGAAATGTTGTTCCCAGTAGAAACCACAAGTATTCTCCTATATCATCATGTGTCATAGATATCTCCAAGCCCTGTTTATCTCACCGCCATCTGACATTATGATCATCATTAGATAACTGCCAGGCTTAATTATCTCACATATCAATGAATACACAGGCTGCTATGTAGCAATTTTTAAATAGTTCAGCATGATCAATTTCTTTCGTATCCCAAATGCCCTTTATTGTACACATTGAAATGCATAGACCTCCTCAGACTACAGATGACAAAAACAGTTGAGAACATCTGCTGAAAGAGAATGATGCTGTCCAGGATGCTGCTCATCACTCATGAGTTCAGGAGGGGTGTAGCAGTCAGAGTACCGAAAGGACCCCTTATTTCTGAGAGGCCCAGGAGGCTGAGAAATTAGCATGGTACTAAGTGTACCACATCTACACGTTCTTGACAGATGGACACGTGCAGGATCTCTGGGCTTGAACTAAACAGAAGCAAGACGCTCATGGTGCTCTTACGGGACATAAATAATTGATACGTTGAGGTTGCCGTGGTTATGCACATTCTCTCTGAATGAGTAGGGTTTTTTTTTTTTACAATGCTTATAAAAATAATAGCCAATGGCTGAGGATGACCTTCCTCTAATGTAGTTTCAATTAAGATGATGATATAAAGCTAGTTATGTGTTTCATATGTCATTATGTTATAATGGTCCCGTAAGACTATTTCAGAGATGTTTCTGGTGGTTTCGTTACAAGCTTACCTACTGCATGACCAGGATAGCACGGCTGTAAATAATAACTGTCAAATGACCACGGTACATGTTTATGCATTGAATGTAGTAATTTTTACTTTTATCTCAATTATGTGTGAGTGTGTATTTGTGCATGGGGATGTAGTGCCCACAGAAGCCGGAAGGAAGCTTTGGGTTCCCTGGAGCTGGAGTACCAGGCGCCTGTGAGCTACGCAGTAAGCCGTCCGGCGTGGGTGCTGGGAACACTTGTTATTCTTCTAGAGTCTTCTTACCCACCGAGCCATCTCTGTGGCCCTGTTACACCACTTTGTGTGTGTGTGTGTGTGTGTGTGCGCGCGTGCATGATATGTATATTTTCTTGTGTGTGTGTGTATACAGATACACATGTGTGCTTATGCAGATGGAAGCCAGATGCTAACCCTGGATGTTGTCCCTCAGACATCACCCACACTGATCTCTCTTAAAGACAGGTCCTTTGCTGGCCTGCAGTTAGCCGCGACTAAACTGATTGCACCCTTTTCTCTTGTGACTGATCTAACCTTGTACGGTTTTGTTCGTCACTGCAGGGGCAGTGAGCTATATCATACATGCACCCATATAGCCGGTGTGCAACAGGCTCGACCATCCAGGCCTGTGTAACTAAATGGGTGGACTCTAATGTTTGTGGTGACAGGGTGGCCGGCAGCTCATCTCTCCGGACATTAAACTGGGCTCTGTCTTCTCACGGCTGAAGATCCAGAATTCTTGGGTGGAAAACCCAAGTTTGGGGAGTGATGTCTTCTTTAATCACCTTTGACTCACAGCCTAAAATGCAAAGCTGTGTCTGCAAAGCAAGTTCTCTCTTCCGAAGCGATGTCGCAGAGGTGTCGGGCCAGGGAGACTAATGCAGTTTTTGTTTGTTCACCCTGTCTTTTTATACAGGTTTTAAGGCACTAAACAGGCTGTACTTTGATTGTGGCTTCTGTTGACCTGGACACACTTTTCTGGAGAACGTCGGCTGCCATAAACTGTTGGTGCTCTCCCCTCGCTGTTTGCGAACTTCCTCAGGCTGGAGATTACTTATGCTTTACAGAAATCATCTGCTCAGCAGCCATGCATCATTTATAACAATCTCTGGCAAAACCTCAGAAAAAGATACGCTCTTGTCTCATCAGGCAGAACCCAAGGAAAACACTCCCCGGGTGGCGGGCACGTAGGCTGTGGGACAGCCTGGTGGAGCTTGCTTCTCCCACCGAGTGGGACCCAGTCAGGGAGGAAGCGAGAGACACAAGCCAAACAGTCACAGGTGAAACCAGAGACGAGCTCCTGCAGGATCGGGGGAAGCAGCTGGACTCAGCTTCTCCGCAGCACAGTGGATCTCTTCTGTCCGCCCGTCTGCCTGTCCGTCGCGGGGAGAGGAAATGGCCCATGAAGTGGACCTGGAGTCCTTCAAGGAGTTGGAACGGGAGGCCATTCTCGGGGTCCTATACCGAGATCAGGCTGTTCAGAGCATGGAGCAGGAAAGGGTCCGGTAAGCAGCGCTGTCCCCTGGGATGGTCCTGCGGGGCTTGGCTTTTTCTGTTTGGAGTCATGGTTTGCTGGCTTCCTTGTGACTGCTAACTCAGGGCTGGACTTGTAACCCACAGGGGTCCCAGTGAAAGGTGTGGGGCTGGGAATTATTTCCGCAACAGACCTAAATTGACTTCACAGTTCTTTGGAAAGAACGCCTTTGTGATATTTGCTCTGCTCACTTTGTGAGAGTAACTAGAGGAACAGCAACAGGCTCTGGCAGCGCCCCCACCAAGGGAGGAACCTTCCAGTTAGAGCACCTACCCCCTGTTTTCCGGGGTACCCGAAGGCACAAAGGAGAAGGGACAGAAACAGAAAACCAGTGGAATCCATTTCTGTCTTTCCTCTTTGTTCACGTTTGCCTCACAGCTGGCATGGAAGGGTGAACCTGCTTGGCCTGTTCCCTTTATCAACGGGCCCTTCTTTCCTAGGCTGGCTGTTTGGTGTGAGGTTGCAGTTGCTGGTGGCTCTGGGTGGCTCACTGTTAGCTGGGAGGTTCCCTCTGTAAATACACAGCTTGTTTTTCCAGTGTTCATCTGAAATCTCAGTACCTAGGAGGTAGAAACAGGAGGATTAGGGTTCAAGGTCGGGGTTCGGGAGATGGCTCAGCAGTTAAGGGCACTTTTTGGTCTTGGGTTCAATTCCCAGCACTCACATGGTGGTTCACAGCCATCTGTAACTCCAGTTCCAGGGGGATCCAGTGCCCTCTCCAGCCTCTGTGGGAATCAGGCACCCTTGTGGTGCACATACATGCATACAGACACAAGACTCATACACACAAACTTAAAAGAAATCTAAGTATTTTTTAATTGAAAGGGTTCAAGATCACTTTTAGCTACTAGGCATGTTTGAAGGTAAGCGGATGAATGCATGAGCATGTGTTTAGCGTTAAGAAGGCCTAGAGTCAATCCTGGCACCGGGAGGGGGGCACACACCAATGTTTTATAGGCGAGCTTTCTCAGAGTCGCTGGAGAGATGGATGACACAGCAGAAGCACTGGCTGCTCCTCCAGAGGTTCAGCGTTTGGTTCCCAGCACCCACATGGTAGTTTACAGTTCTCTGTAACTGCAGTCCCCCGGAGAAACCTGATGCCCTCTGCTGGCCTCCACAGGTCCTGCATGCCCATCGTACATGGGGACAAAAACACCCATCTGCATAAAAAAAAAAAAAAAAAAAAAAAAAATCCCACACATATAAAGTGTTTGAAGACTGAGGGAAAATGTTTGAGTAACCAAAGATACAGAGTACTTTTTCCAATCTTCTTTATTTCTTTTATTTCTTTATTCATTTATTTATCTATCTGTCTGAGACAAGATCTTTCTCAGTTACCCTGGCTGTCCCGGAACCCGGCGTGAACCAGGCTGACTTTGAACTCACAGAGATCTGCAGGCCTCTGTGTCCCTCTGTGTTCCAAATGCTGGGGCTGAAGGGATGTGTCGCCACACCCAGTCCCTACTTTACCTCAAAACTCCTTAAATATACTTGTAAACTCTGATTCACTGATAGGCCGAGAAAATGATTAAATTAATCCCTTTGGTGATTAGAGAGAGGTGTTTGGATAGTAAGAGCTGGTGGATACTGGCGAGGAAGGTCCTATTCTGAAAAAACAAATGGCGTATAAACGGTTTCTGAGATAGGCTTGTGATTATTTGTCATGGCCACCCTGGGGGACAAGGCGCTGTTTCATAGAAAATCCTAGCCTGGGCAGGCGAGATGAGAGGCTGGCCCCTACAGCCTTGGCAAGCCCTTAGCCTTGTATAGTGGGTCTGTGGAGGCTTGTGTCTGTAGTCAGCTGTGTTAGTTTTATTTATGTCACACCCACAGCCAAGAGCAGAGAGAAACCAATGCGTATGTGATTGCCCAGCTCCCTCCATCTCTCTATTCCCCAGTTTGCCCCTGCCTAGGGGGTGGTGCTGCCCACCCACAGTGGGCTGTCTCTTCCCACAGCGTTTAAGTGGAGACATCCCCCCCCCCACAGACACGTGCACAGGCCAGCCCGGTGTAGAAAATCCTTTCCAAGGCTCTCCACAGGTGATTCTGGGCTACGCCACGTGGGCAGTTAAAGCTAACCACCTAATCATGGTTCCCAGGAAACTGAAAACGCAGCTGCAGCATCTTCGGTGGAAAGGGGCGAAGAGCTCGAGCCAGGAGTACGAGGAAAAGTGCTGTGCACGCTGCCAGCGGACTCTGGGTGTGCTGCTCAACCGCGGGGCCGTGTGCCAGGGCTGCAGCCACCGCGTGTGCTCCCAGTGCCGAGTCTTCCTGCGGAGGACTCACACATGGAAGTGCTCAGTGTGCTTCGAGGACAGGTAAGCATCACGGGAAGGGTGTGTGTGTGAGTGTGTGTGTGAGTGAGTGTATGTGAGTGTGAGTGTATGTGAGTGTGTGTGTATGTGTGTGTGAATGTGTGTGTGAGTGTATGTATATATGTGTTTTTGTGTGTGTAAGGGTGTATGTATGTGTGTAACTGTATGTGAGTGTATGTGTGTGAGTTTGTGTATAAGTGTGTATGTTTGTGTGTGAGTGTGTGTATGAGTGTGTGTGAGTGTGTGAATGTGTGTAAGTGTGTGAGTGTGTGTGTGAGTGTGTGTAAGTGTGTGAATGTGTGTAAGTTGTGAGTGTGTGAGTGTGTGTGTGAGTGTGTGTGAAAGAGAGAATGAGTGTGTATATGTACAAGCATATAAATGAGTGTTCTGCTCCTTTTCTGACTCAGGATTCAGGGAGGATCCAAAGCCATCCTGGCTTCAAACTCAGGCCGTGTAGCCATCACACCTCAGTCATCAATAGATGCTTCCCAAAGCCATCGCACCAACTCTGTCCCATGGACACTCCAAGGCTGCCAGACTAGAGTTGCTTTTCCCGCTTGGGAGGGAGACATCTTAATTAAAAAATGGTTTTATTTCCAGGTACTGGGAGCGCACAGCCTTTAGTCCGTCCTAGCACTTGGGAAGCAGAGGCACGGTTTTTGTTGTTTGTTTTGTTTCTTTTGAGACAGGATCTCAGTATGTATCTCTGGAAGGTCTGCACACTGATACAAGACCAGGCCAGCCTCGGATTTACAGAGATCTGTCTCCTGAGTGCTGGAATGAAAGCAGGGTGCCATCATGCCTAGCCATAAAACAGTTTTATTTATGAATGTTTGGTGACTGATGACGGACTGGCCCAGGATTTTGTTATTTATTTGGGTTTGGCCTTTTTCTCTTTAAAGGGTGGGGTCTCATGCAGCCCCGGTTGGCTTTAAACTCAATAGGTGTAGCTGAGGCTGATGCTGAACGCCTGACCCTCCAGCCTCTTTGTAGTGCTGAGATTACAGGGCCAGTGTACACCCCGCCCAGTGCCTGTGTGTTCTTGTACCTTATCCCCTGCAGGAAAAGTGACAGGGATGTGAGCTGGGGCCGGAGCTGACTTCTGAAAGAGTGCTTTCAAGGAGGGAAGTGCTGTTTTTGAACAAGTCACTTTGAAAATTAGCGCCCCAAGTAAGAGCAGGTCATGGGTTCCGTTAGGCGTGGAGGGCGCAGCCACTTGAAGGAAGAATGGACACAGAGCTTACAGGAAGGCAGAAGTGGGAGGCAGATGCCAGTCTGTGTGGGTGGCCGGAGACTCTGCTCTGAAGCAGCTTGCCATGTCACTGACATGTTGGAGGACCCTAGGACAGATCACGGGAGACCGGAACACAGAGCAGCATAAAGCGGGCTTCCCTTCCTAAGTCAGGGGGTCTGTCTGCCTGACCACCCTGAATGAATGCTGGGTTTCCTGTCCCTCTGCAAGGCCTTATGCATGTCGGTCACTGCGCAGTATGGAAGTGACTCTGCCCTCTCTGCATTTGGACGGGTCCCCTCTTTCGGCCACAGCACCGCGTCTGCCTGTCCTCGATGGGTTGCTCTCCTTTCTCGGGCTTGCCGGAGTCAGTGTCTGTCAGGCTTTTCTTGGTTCAAGAGAAAGCCCCCATAGGGACTACGGACTGCCCTGGCCACACAGTGTGGATGTGATCCTGGGGAGGGAGCTGACCCTGAGCCATCTCCAGTCAGGTCCGCTCAGCCAGCCACCTGGATCTGATGTCTACCTGCAGCCCTAATGAAGGAAATAAATAACCCTTAGCAATTTCCCCTTTTAATAGTTATCTGCAAACTAGAACTCAAAATACAGGGCCTGGGCTGAGGCAATCTCCTAGGGAGGTAACTGTGTTGAAATCTCCGGCATCGTGCCCGGCATTGTAACTTGACCCACTAAACACACACAGTGTCATTTCTATAACCCCGGCTTCCTGATTTTGAAATAAGGATGTTTTTTCCAAACATCCGTGATAATTGTGTCACTCCAGGTGGATTCATGAAGGAAGCCGTGTTGGAAGAAAGCTAATTTACAGTCACTCGGGCTTTCCCTCCCTCCCTTCTTCATACTCCTCACTCCCGTCTCCAGCTTTGGGGGACGGGGAGGCACCATCCAGCTTTTGGTCTGCCCGGCTTAGCTAATCTGCTCTCCCTGTAACACATAGTGGGACCTGGGGACCGGTCTTGAGTCCGTTAACAGTTTTGTCATATATATATATATATATATATATATATATATATATATATATATATATATCAAGCCCAGTTCCCTCTCCCTCCCATCCTCCCATGCCCCCCACCCCATCCCCCATCCACTCCCCAGGGAGGGTGATGCCTTCCATGAGGGATCATCAGAATCTGTCAAGCCATTTGGGCCAGGGAGTAGGCCCTCCCCCATGTCTCCAGGCTGAAAGAGTATCCCTCCATAGGGAATGGGCTCCCAAAGTCTGTTCTGGTACTAGGGATAGATACACCCTGGTTCCATTGTCAGGTCCCATAGACTGCCAGGCCTCCTAGCTGACACCCCTGTCCATGGGGTCTGGTTTGGTCCTGCTGGTTCCCCAGCTGTCAGACTGGGGTCCATGAGCTCCCAGGTGAGCTGTTTCTGTGGGTTTTCCCCAGCGTGGTCTTAACCCCTTCCTTCCTCCCTCTCTGAAACTGGCTTCCAGGAGTTTGGCTCAGTGCTTGGCTGTGGATCGCTGCTTCTGTTTTCATCGGTTACTGGATGAAGCCCTAGGATGGGAGGAGGGAGAAGAGGAGGGGGAGGAGGACATGAGGGACCAGGAAGATCGAATGGGGAGATGAACAGAGGAGAGCAAGAAAAGAGACTCACCGATAGAGGGAGCCATTATAGGTTTGAGGAGGAATCTGGCACTGGGGACATGTCCAGAGATCCACAAGGATGACCCCAACTAGGAATCTAAGCAGTAGTGGAAAGGCTACCTTAAATGCCCTTCCACGATAATGAGACTGACGACTACCTTAAATGCCATCCCAGAACCATGGCATTTAAGGTAGTCATCAGTCTACCACGTCTAACTTTACGTGGGTTCCGGACTCAGATCTTGACGCTTGTGAACCAAGCGTTAACTGGACCCACTGAGCTCAGCGCTAGAGTACTCTCTTGGTGCTAATAGTGAACACATTTTTGAGACAGGGCCCTAGTAGGAAGCTCAGGCTGGCCTAAGACCCACAATCCTCCTGCCGCCACCTCCTGAGTGGTCGGGTTGGTAGGACCCACCCCCGACACCCCCGCCAGCATGCCGAGAAAGAGAATGAATACTCTCACACAGTTCTGCGTGTGTCATTCTTGTTGAAGGGCAGGCTCATCTTGTGGCCAGCACTTGATTGCAGTTCTTGCCTTTAAAACCCTTTTGAGAATTAGTGAGCTCTCTATTTTATCATGTCTTTGGTTTGTACTCCCTGTTGTCATTGGCTTAGTGCACCAGAGGAGCCTGTCACCATGCAGGAGGCTCTTTGTGTGGTTATCAGGTTACACACTGCCCTGGTGAGCACTCAGGGTCACAGAGGGCTGGAGCTGAGAGTTTGAGCAGGTGGGTGGGGGCGGTTTTTTCTGTGCATTATGCCTTCATAAGGATTTCCATGAAAACCTGTGTATTCCCAAGCCAGCAGACGTCATCCGCAACGTGCCGGTTTCGGATGACTCAGCTATAGTCCGGTCCACTGATACAGCTGTTTCAGGGTTATCATGAATGAGCGTCTTTATTTTCACAGAAAGAGGGCTGCCCAGGAGTCCCTGCCCAGTCACAAAGCCGACCTTAGAGTGCTATGCTCTGAAATGTCTCCTACGCTGAGGTGCTTGGGTGATGGTCCGGGTAGATTCTGGAATTTATTCTTGATTCAAATGCATATTTGTGGTTTTCTGATGCCAACAATGTGCTTCTTTCCTACGAAAGCAGTTTTGTCTGCCAATTCCCCATTAACTGCCTGTGGTCCACACAGTTCGGTATCCTGCAAGACTGCATTTCGCCAGTGGGTTTGAGTGTGCCTTCCAGGGGCTTTCCCACATCCGTGGTGACCTCACTGGGCTTCCAGTCCTGGGCCTTTTAATCAAGAAAGTCAATAAATGCCTCCTTGTCTCTTGGAATGTAGCGGTTCCAGAGACATCGGAGGTGTTTTTTTTATCACGTTCTTTATGCCCCCAGAACTGCCCCTGACCATGGCAGCGCTTATAAAGGGAAACATTTAGTTGGGGTGGCTAACATCTTCAGAGGTCTAGTCCATGATCATCATGGCGCTACATGGTGGCATGCAGGCAGACATGGTGCGGGATCTCAGAGTCCTACATGTCCATGGGCAGGCAGCAGGAAGAGTTCTGGGACAGTGGGTGTGGCTTGAGCATAGGTGAGACCTCACGGCCCACCCCCACAGTGACAAAGCCACCCCTCCCAATAGTGCCACTCCCCATGAGCTTACGGGGGGGGGGCATTACCTTTAACCTCCCACAGCCCCCCTTTGCAGTTAAAATGTTTCTGGGAAAGGCGCCTCTCCACTTGATCTTTAGGACCAAGCAGCATGCTTCTGAAGGTTTGATTGTTCAGCCTCTTGAAGCTGCCCCTTTCTAAGCCAGCATTTTCTTTTCCATTTGGTTATCATTTTGTGCTTTTTTTTCTCTCTTTCTTTCTCGTCTTTTACTGGGGATTGAGCTTGGAGCCCTGCACATGCTGGGCCAAGTGCTCTGCCACCGAGCTCCAGGCCCAGCCTGGAGAGCAGCTTTCAGTGAGCGGCTTGGCCACGGTCATCTGTGCTGTTGTCCTCTCTTCCTTCTCTTCCGAATGTCCGTCTTTTTCTTTTGTGTTCTGGGAAAGCAGCTGAGCTGACTGAGTCACCTCAGTCAGGACTTACTTAGCTGATTTATCTCTGCTGTGTGTGTGTGTGTGTGTGTGTGTCTGTGTGTGTGATGTGTGTGTGTCTGTGTGTGATGTTTGTGTGTGTGTGTGTCTGTGTGTGTGATGTTTGTGTGTGTGTGTGAGTATGTGTGTGTGTTGTGTTTCGTTTCCAGACAGGGTTTCCTTTTATAGCCCTGGCTGTTCTGGAACTCGCTCTGTAGACCAGGCTGGCCTCGAACTCACAGAGACCCACCTGCCTCTGCCTCCTGAGTGCTGGGATTTAAGTCATTTGTCACCACTGCCTGGTTCTGCCTTTTACTGGGTGTCAGCAGGGCCCCCCCCCCTTAGGCCTGGTTAGTGTCCTAACCCCCCAAATTCCCCCCCCCGCCACTCCCCACTATCTCCTGCACTCTGCCTCATCCTCTGACTCCAGCCCAATTTCCTGCTGCAGTTGAGGTTCCTTCACAGAGGCCACAGCCATGTTTTTTGAAGCTGCTTCCTGCTAGTACTTTCTAGTTGCCATGGTGACGCTTGCTCGCCCGGCCATTCCCCTGGTCTTGCAGGCTCCATGGATATTGCCTGTGGCATTTAGCCAGCTGCTCTGTGCTGTCTCTTCAAACCCCTGGGTTGGGGCTGGGCCCGGAATGAGTGTTTCATGCCTGGTGCCCTTAGCTCAGTCCTTTTGACAACATGAACCCATCCTCGAGGCACACTGTCATAGTCTGTCCACTTTGGATTCCACCTCAGCCCTTTCTTCTCACCGTGCTCCCGGGAGAGGTGGGGATGTTCATTTATTCACCAGTATACTGTGCTGGGGCCTGTGAAGTGTGTCTGGGTGTAACGGTCAGAGGGCTGGGGTTAAGGAAGGGACGTGGTAAGTGTTCTGCAAGAAGTGTGGATGGCGGCGTGATAAAATCATCACTTTATCTTCACGGAGGGAGAGGTCCACTCTTCTCAGAGTTGCCTAGGATTTAATCGCAAGCATCTGTCTGTTTTCCTGTGCCCGCCTTGAAAGCAGATCAGCTGGGCTTGTGGGCGGACGAAGCAAACCCACCGCAAAGCTTAGCTGCAGGGTTGTTTGAAGGAAAGGTTTTAGCTGGGGGAGAGCACAGACTGCTCCTAGGAGACTTAGAGGCTGCAGTGGCCCACGCAGGAGACCTGTGGCTGTTTCACAGCAGGCCATTGCCGACTTCCCAGCATTTACATCCTGAGCATCTGGCAAGCCACCAGAGTATTTGGGGTGGTGCTCTTCAGGGTTCTGTGCCTTCAGGGTCTGAGCCAGAGAGCAGACCTGCATGGATGCAGGGCTTCAGGCATTCACAGGATTGTGAGGACACAGACTCACCCATCTTCCACCTCTGGTCGGTTGGTTGGTGGAAATATCTTCGCCGTCTGGGGGACGACTAACTGCACCCCGGCCTGCAGAGCCACGATGCTGCCCCCCCCCACGTGCCTCTTTAATTTGCAGCTTGCTCCTAGGGGCGAGGTCCAAACAGCTTTTTGCTAGGTTCCTCCAGCCCCCTCGTTAGCAAACATCTGTGCTGGAATTTGCAAAGCACATTCAATGGTTACTTCTTGTTTGCCAATTCGGCATTAGCCGGGTTGAGGGCCATAAAGATGGATACTGTTCTGTTCTGGAAGCAGAATGAGCGCCAGGTGTCAGATGTTTATAATTCCAGCCTCTCTCAGGCAGGGATTACCTTCCAGCAGTGTTCAACCCATGGCAACTCTCAGGTTGCAAGAGTACATTTATTTTAAGTGACATCTGGACAGAACCTTGTCATCTACAAGGTTAGTTTTTGCCGTTCCAGCACAAACTGAAAGTCGTCTTGGTTAAATAATTGCATCCATTGGATTTACCTGTGGGCAGGTCTGAGTGGCAGTCTCTTGATTAGTGATTGACGTGGGAGGGCCAAGCCGGTGGTGGGTGGTGCCATCCCTGGGCAGGTGGTCTTGCTCTGTCTAAGAAAGCAAGCTGAGCAAACCACCAACCATCACGAGAGAGAGCAAGCCAGTGGGCAGCTTTCTCCTGTGGTCTCAGCACCCCAGTTCTTGCCCTGACCCTCCTTTTGTGACGGGCCGGAAGCCGAAGAAACCTTTCTTCTCCCAGGCTGCTTCAGGTCAGTGTTCTACCACAGCTCAGAAAGCAAACCAGGACAGTGTGTTTGAGCACTGCACAAATTATAAAGGAAAATGTCCATGGGCCACATAAAGAGAGGTCGGAGCAGGCCGGGTGGCTAACAATTACCTGTCACTCCCGTTCCAAGGGATCTGGCACTTTGTTCTGGCCTCTCAAGTTACCAGCAATGCACTTGGGGTGTTAAGACCCTCAGAATGAGGAGTCTTCCAGGTTCGGTCGATACCCCAAGAACTCAATGTCCAGTCCAGTTGCTGCAAAACGCAAGAGGCTTTAATGAACAGGAAACGTTTGCGCAAACGGGCTCCTCCAGCACAAAGGCTAGAGAGAAGCTCCCTCCCCTGGGCCCAGGTGTTTTTAAAAGCAAACCCACAAGCTTAGGGAGGGGGTGGGACCCTCTGTCCATTGAGTATGTGACCCTTGGATGGTCTGCTATTAGGGTCAGCAGACCTTAGGGCCTCAGGGTGTGCTAATTAATCTTGTCTGGGCAAACCAGAGTTGTAGCTATCTCTTTGTTTCCTAAGGACCCTATTTACCACCTGTTGACTCACAGGAAAGGAGGGGCAGTGTGAATTCTTCTTATCTCAGGGCCTTGTGAGAGGAAGTTAGCAAATTCCAAGGAACAGATATTGGTTTCCAGGTCAGTCCATCATTAACATTACTTTTTAGGTCTTTCAGGGGCACAGACAGGATGCGGGCAAAGCACTCATGCAATATTACTATTGTTTAAAAAAAAAATCAGTATTTGTAGAGGTGTTATAACAGCTCACGCCTGTAATCTCAACACTTGGGGAGCTGAGGCAGGAGAGGGGCCGTGAGTGTGAGGGTGGGCTGCACCGTGAGTTCTAGGTCAGCTCTCTCAACAAGATAATTCTGCTTGCTTTTCAGAGTTGTGAAAATCAAAACTGGAGAATGGTTCTTCGAGGAGCGTGCCAGGAAATTCCCAACCGAAGGTAAATGCTCTTAAAACCTTAACTCCCGTGAAATGGGCATCTCTAGTTTGCAAATATTTGGCACTGTTTGTTTGTTTTGGTTGAAAGGAAAAAAAAAAAAAACCTCCTGGCCTTGGACTTGGCAAAACGTGAAATGACAGTGTTTTTAGTGATGGGTCTGGCTGGCTTGTACTTGTGTACCAGGAACCGAGGCAGCCGAGTGCACCTTAATCGGTCTCCCCCAAGCAGTGGCAGACAGAGTGGGAACAAGCTCCGTGGCTTGCTGATTTTGATGAGGGTAACACTCACGCTAAGGGTGCCTTCTTGTAAAGGGGTTGTAAGAACTAAAGTATGCCACTGAGGTCAAGTAGGCGCTGGCCCCTAGGTGTCAGGCCATTTGGGATCATAGGGTTAGTGCTTGAGCGACTCCGTTTTTATTTGACCTGGTCCCTGGTCTTACCCTTCCATCCATCTGAGCATGCCTATTTCTGAGCAGAGCCGATTGGTTACCTCTGCCTGAGGCCCCGCCCTGTGTGTCCCACCTCTGTCTCTGCTTTGCCAGACTTTCAGCTTCCGGAGCTGTTTGTATCCCTGAGTCGGTTGTGTGCACGGTTCTCTGTGATTGTTGCAAGGCACTTTTGCGCACGTATGCGTCTCTCTACGAGTAGAAACTGTGCTTTTATAATCATTTAAAAATCGTTTTTTGAAATCTGCTCATGCAGTGTGATCTGTTCGTGATCCTTAGAAATATTTAGCTTCGATCCGGGCTCAGTAGACATGGACCTGAGCTCCGCCCCCAGAGCCCACCTCAGAAAAGGGCGGGGTCTGGTGGTCCAAGTGTAGCAATTATGGAGGCAGAGAGATTTAGGGCTTGCTTGGCAGCCAGCCTCCCGTGCTGGGCAAGCCCTCAGCCAGTGATGGGGAACGCCTCAGGTGAGGACGAACGCCCACCTCCACAGGCATGTGCATGGCTCCCACACACGTAGACACATCCGTACACGAAAGAAAACTAAATACAAGTTAAATGACTACATTTCAAAGATCAGTGGCTGGGGCTGTGTTAATGCCCAGCTCACAAGAAAGAGACCCAAGTTCTGAGGGGTGGGACGATGCTTTGCTACTTTTCTCTTGCTGTGATAAAACACTCAGGCCAAAACAAAAGGCAGTTTAAGACAAATGGGTTTGGCCAGATGGTGGTAGCCCACGCCTTTAATGCCAGCACTGGGGAGGCAGAGGCAGGTGGATCTCTGTGAGTTCAACCCCAGCCTGTTCTACAGAGTGAGTTCCAAGACAGCCAGGGCTACACAGAGAAACCCTGTCTCGGAGGGAAGAAGAAAGAAAAATAGAGGTTTATTTTTGGCGTATGGGTCCAGCCCTCTTGGCATGGTTGGCGGCAGGAGCAGTATGCCTACTATTCACATGGTATCCACACACAGAAGTGGGACCAGACCATAAACCCTCAGCGTCCATCATACCCTTCTCCAGTAAGACCCCATCTCCTTAAAGTGCCATAGCCTCCCCAAAGTGTTATCACCGGCGGGGGGCGGGGGTAAGTATTGAGATACATGAGCCTGTAAGGGACATTTCTCCTTCAAAGCATCACAGACATCATCTGAAATGTGTCGATGACTTTATACATCAACAGAGCCACTACAGCTTGCTCAAACTTTGCCCTGCTGTTTTATTTGATTGTCGGGCAGCTGAGGTCACTGTGGTGAACATCTTGTATGGGGTCTTGGCAGTTTTGTGTGATTCCCTTGGCTAGATTTCTCAAAGGGGTGGTGGCTGGTTGGATTCAGGAACACTTGAAAGGGCTGTGAGGCTGCTTTGCCAATCCGACTTCTAGGAAGGGCATTTCATTTGCTGCGCTTGGCAGGATGGGCCTGCCTTGTCCCCATACTCTGGCCCTCTCGGAAGCCTGGTATCAAATTCCGTTTGTGCTTTTGCTGTGACTGTTACGTACTATGTGTTCATTTAAAAATCAGAAAACGAGGCTGGCTGGAGCTGAGGCTTCATAGAGCACTGTTCTGACCTGTGTGGGGCCTTGAGTTCAGTCTCCAATCAAGAGGAGGGAGGAGACAGGGACGGGAGAGTGGGAATTTAAGAGCTGGCCAGTTTCACCCAGGGAATGTCTGCTAATGCCCCCTTACACACTATTTCTGCCCGCCCTCCCCCCATGTGTGTGGGGTCAAGAGTTGCTCTGCTGCCAAGCTTGACAACCTGAGTTCAGTTCCACGTGGTAGAAGAGACCCAGCTCCCACTAGTGCTCTGGCACCCCCTGACTATATTAAAATGTACTATACTATTGTTTAACTAATTAGTTGGATCATAAGAGACGTAGGTATGAAAATACTTGATGACAACTTCATGTGATGTTTGTGTAATTGGGAACAATTTAATTTTCCGGCTATATCTCTGTGCAGTACGTTGTAAAGGACATTCTCCAGACTTTTAAACATCATGGGCCGAGTGGTCTCTGATGTGATGACCACACAGCACCCATCCTCAGAATGCCCTACCATGTGTTCAGCCAAGTTACGGGTTTGATGAGGAAGGACAGGGTCATTGGACAATGGAGCAGCGCCCACATCAGGCTCAGATTCAGTGAATTTACTTTTCAGCACTGGAAACTAAGCCAAGTTCACTGTTGAGTTGCAATTCCAGGGATCACCATGCCCTCAGCACCAGTTCCCTTAATATGTGTGTTACTTATTCCTGCCGATTCAGAGAAGTGTGACCAAGTTTCTGTGACAATCATAATCAATGAAGAATAATACAGACAGACTGTGAAAACATTTACTGTGACAACCTCTCAACCCATGAAAAGGATTAACAGGATGGCAGGGTAGCAGGAGGAAGAGAGATTCCTGATCAATTATGAGGTTCTGGGTTCAAAAGCTCCAGGAACAAAGTAATAAAAGCCAATATGACATATGTGTGTGTGTGTGTGTATGTGTGTGTGTGACAGAGAAAGAGAGAGAGACTATGTGTATGTCACTGTGTCTGTGTGTATGTCACTGTGTCTTTGTATCAGTAAACCTAAGCCAGTATGACCAGTGTGACCCTATCTGCCTGTGTGTGTATATGTGAGTGTGTGTTTGTGTGTATGGCTGTGTGGGTGAGGCTCTGTGTGTGTGTGCGTGTATGTGTGTGTGTATGTGTGTGTGCAATCATTATGCACAAAAGCAGTATAAAATCATTTATTTAGGTTCATTTATATTCTGTATGCTATATTCCTAAGACTTACAATGTAGTTTTGTGGTTTTTTTATACAAATTACATACTGTAATTTGTATAATATTACCTACATGGCGCCGCCTTGTGGCTGCTTGCTGGAATTGCATGCCCACGTTGGTGCCAATGGTAGCTTCTTGTTTTTTCTAGGAACTTGACATTTTCATGCCTCCATTGTCATCGGTTTGTAGGGTATCTGGTTCACGTGCACAAAGCTCTGCCTGTGGTTCTCTCCACCATGAAAAAAGAGGCATAGTGCACGCTTGTGATGCCAGAACTTAGGCAGAAGGGGTATGAGAAGGGCAAGTTTGTCTCAGATACAGAGTGAGTTTGAGACCAGGTTGGACTTCCTGATTTCTTGGTAGGTGTGTTGTTGTGTGTGTGTCTGTGTTGTGAGTGTGTATGTATCTGTTTCGTGAGTGTGTGTGTCTGTGTGTGACTCTGTGTGTGTGAGTTTGTGAATGTGTATATGTCTGTGTGATGAGTATGTGGTGTGTGTCTGTGTGTGTGTGTGCCTGTGTTTGACTTTGCTCCAGCAGCCCCAGACTGCGGTAGAGAATTCACAGACGCCCTGGTCCCCAGTCTACTCCAGGTTGTGGGAGAGAGCTTGTCACAAGAGAGCAAGGTGGAGAGAGACAAGGACAAGCGTGTGCACAAACATGCAAAACACACTAGTGCAAATGCTAGGTCTGTAGTTCGTGTGCAAAGCAAAGATTTAAGGATGAGCAAATGGGAGCTCCAGTCTACCATCCTGCACAAAAGCAGTATAAAATCATTTATTTTGGTTCCCTTATTTTCCTTCTGAAGACATACTGTATTTTCCTAAGTCTTTTCAGTAGTTTTGTGGTTTTCATAGACATAACTCGTGTTACAATTCCTCGGCATGGGAGATCCACTATCACAAAGACATTTTCCCCGGGACCAGGCTACTTATTGCACCCTGGAGGTGCTGGCACTGATATTTGCACACATGCGGGGAAATTGTGGTAGTGAGGTCTGTGTTCATGCTCACCCCTTCTCAATTAATTTGTTTTTTAAATGTGCGTGCCTGAGGTTCCTATGTGCCCCACAGGGTGTTTGCGTAGGTCAGAGGAAGGGCGTCACATCCCCCGGAACCGTGGTGACCGGTGTGGGTGCTGGGATCTGAAGCCAGGCCATGTGCAAGAGCAGGGAACGTTTTATCCACGGAGCCATGCTCCCAGCCCCTGCTCATGCGATGTTGCTGAGGGTCCCCGGTTCCCATTGGCGGCACTGAGTGGGCCGCCGGAGCCTCGTGGCTCTAAAGTGTCTTTAAAAGTCTTCGACGGCAGCCTTGGCTTTGTTCCCTCCAGATCTGCCCTGTGCGGGATGTGGTGGTGTGTGCAGAAGGCTTTGCATGTGATTTCGGGGACCCTGTTTCACAGTTAGCAGAAAGCCTTTGTAGCTTCTGCCTTGTCACTCTAAAGTCGCAATACAGTGAGACATTGGGGACATGTTTGGAGGGGGTGGGTAGGACTCGTACAGGGTATATGATGCAGGCCAGCGGGGCATTTTTCATGAGCACGGTGGGTCCCAGTGCTGCTATTAAAGTGGCTTTGTTAACTCTGATAGAGGTTTTTCTTTCCTAGTCTGTAACTGGAATCACCTGTGCTCCTGGCGCCGCCTTGTGGCTCCTTGCTGGAATTGCATGCCCACGTTGGTGCCAATGGTAGCTTCTTGTTTTCTCTAGGAACTTGACATTTTCATGCCTCCATTGTCATCGGCTTGTAGGGTATCTGGTTCTCGTGCACAAAGCTCTGCCTGTGGTTCTCTCCACCATGAAAGAAGACGCATAGTGCACGCTTGTGATGCCAGAACTTAGGGAGAAGGGGTATGAGAAGGGCAAGTTTTTCTCAGATACAGAGTGAGTTTGAGGCCAGGTTGGATTTCCTGATTTCTTGGTAGGTGTGTTGTAGTGTGTGTGTGTGTGTGTGTGTGTGTGTGTGTGTGTGTGTGTTTGTGAGTGTGTTTGAGTCTGTGTTGTGAGTGTGTGGTCTGGGTGTGACTCTGTGTGTGTCTGTGTTTGACTTTGCTTCAGTAGCCCTTGGACTGTGGTGCAGAATTCACAGCCGCCCTGGTCCCCAGTCTACTCCAGGTTGTGGGAGAGAGCTTGTCACAAGAGAGCAAGGGGGAGAGACACAAGGACAAGCGTGTGCACAAACATGCACAACACACTTGTGCAAGCGCTAGGTCTGTAGATCGTGTGCAAAGCAAAGATTTAAGGATGAGGAAAAGGAAGCTCCAGTCTCCCATCCTGCACAAAGGCAGTTTAAAATCATTTATTTTGGTTCCCTTATTTTCCTTCTGAAGACATACTGTATTTTCCTAAGTCTTTTCAGTAGTTCTGTGGTTTTTATAGACATAACTGGTGTTACAATACTTCAGCATGGGAGATCCACTATCACAAAGACATTTTCCCCGGGACCAGGCTACTTATTGCACTATGAAGGTGCTGGCCCTGATATTTGCACACATGCGGGGAAATTTTGGAAGTGAGGTCTGTGTTCATGCTCACCCGTTCTCAATTAATTTGTTTTTTATATGTGCGTGCCTGAGGTTCCTATGTGCCCCACGGGGTGTTTGCGTAGGTC